AGCTGAAGATAAAACAGACAGCAGGAGTTCTAGTGCGGGGGGGAGGGTGGGGGGGGGGGGGGGGGGGGAGCAGGGTGGAGGGGGGGGGGGGGGGGGGGGGGGGGAGGGGGGAAGCAAGGGAGAAGGGGGGGATAGGGGGGGGGCGGGGGGGAGGAAGAGAGAGGAGAAAATACACAGTTGACAGTCTGAACAAACATGTGGCTCCCAAGGGTGTATGGCTTTGGAAATTTGGAAGAGGGAAGATCTGAATAGCTGAGAAGAGGATTGACTGGCTGACATTTCACATCGCCTGTTCAAATAATTTCGAAACCTTTTTCATCTCACAAGACACTCAGTTGGTACATGCAGACCGGATTTGGAATCCATACAGACCGGATTTCGAATCCAGACGGGCCCAGATGAACTTAAATCCTGAATAGCTGAGAAGAGGACTCTTGACATACAGACCGGAGTTCGAATCCAGATGGGCCCAGAGCAACTTGATTCCGGAATCGCCTAAGGCCAGTCAGTTTCATGATGATATCTCAAGACCATCGTCCTCTTCAAAATTGATAAAAAAAAAGAAGAAAAAACTAATAACACCGTTACCAACTTACCTGTAAAAGGCTGTAAATCATAATATTGAATTAATTGATTACACTATAGAAACTTAATGACTATTAGTCTATTATGTACATAGCACGTATGTACGTACGCTACATAATCCATGCAATATGCCTGGCTAGGACAACACCTACCCCCATCACCCCCGTCACCACCACCACCACCACCAACTCAGGTCAGGAGTCTGAATGTCCATGCAGACAGGTCTGACCCAGTTCTGTCAGATGTCGAGGCTTTGCGCGAAACGTCTGTCACACTGCTATGGAAAGCTCAGAGACATCCCTTTTTTCCCCCTTTTTTAAAGATTTTTTTCATTATATACAAGCTGGGAAACGCGCCCAGCGTCCCTCATAATGTACGGGCGACTCAGCAGAAGGCAGGCCTTTCGGCCTGGTCCTTTCCACAGGCACGCAGAGAGAAAGAAAATGGGCGTCCATTGCAAAAGGTCACGCACGGTTGCATCTCGATCTCGATTGCACCCAAGGAGGACTATTCATTTGAGAATTTTCATCAGATGAACCAGCTACCACAGCGAGGATCGAGGAATCCCACATACACCACTATGGAGTACATAGCACATCCAGAAAATGTCAGAAACTGACAAAGATTGAAAATTTGAAAGCGAAAAAGAAGCGTCCTGCAAAGTGATGAATTTTAATCCCAATGGGAAAGAAAAAAAAAAGGTCGGCAGTGACTCCCACATGATGATGCATGGAGCAAATTTCTCTTCGCATAAGAAGCAAACCGACACTCTTAAACTGCCAGTACACTACACAGCCCCAGCCTTGTGGAGAAACCTTTCATCACCTACAAAAAAATTCCAGGCTCAGGACTACCAGACCACAATGGATGGCGGCGCCAGCCCAAAAAGAAAGAAGTGCACCGCTGGCAGTTCGGTAGAGCTTGGAACACAGTGGAAGACCGCCAGGCCCAGGTGTAATGGTGGTTAAAAGAACAACAACAACAACAACAAAAAAAAAAAAAAAAAAAAAAAAAAAAAAAAAAAAAAAAAAAAAAAAAAAAAAAAAAAAAAAAAAAAAAAAAAAAAAAAAAAAAAAAAAAAAAAAAAAAAAAAAAAAAAAAAAAGGGCCCTTGTTTCACAAGAGGTCAGTCAAAAATCTACTCCCTCATTTCGAGTCATTTGAAGTCATTTTCAAATTAAAAATTTTCCTATTTCACTACAACAACAACAACAACAACGGCAAGAATTGTTTCAACTTTCAACTTCTGACTTTCGACTTTCGACTTTCTACTAAGTTTCTAGTACTTTCTAGGCAAATCTTTAGTAAATCTTTAGGGTTACTAATATAGAATCAGTATAGAATCTATAGATACAATTCCAACCTGATGGCTACGTTCAGAATGATGCGTTAACACCATCGACCAGTGTCAAGTTACAAAAAAAAAAAAAACATGACATGTCAAGAAGAAGACAGTTCCGAGCTACAGGGAAACAACAAAAAAAAAAAAGCGTAACCGACCTTATCCACGATCACAGGAGCATGCTTCAGCAGAAGCAGAAGCGCATCGCCAGAAGCAGTCTGCATTGCCGGAAGAAGCGCCGGCAACACGGCGGTCTCAAAATTCTTTTTGTCCTGTAAAAGCCACGTGCAAAAAATGCACCAAATATCACTTCTCAAGACCATGACGATGGCTTCGCATGGCACGGCCACTTCTCCTTCTTCTTCTCCTTCTTCTTCTTCGTCCCTCTTCTTCTTCTTCTTCTTCATCGCCGTTGGCGTTGTCGTAGTCATCGTCTTCTTCTACTACGACTACGACTACTACTACTTCTACTACTACTGCGTTTCCCGTGAAGGAGCACAAGTAAGCAAGCACACCCATATGCATGTAACACACACACACACACACACACACACACACACACACAGAGAGAGAGAGAGAGAGAGAGAGAGAGAGAGAGAGAGAGAGAGAGAGGGTCAAATCCCAGTGACACCTGCATGCTTGGGAATACTCCACTGAATGATCAGTCACCCATTGTCCTGTTACTTACGACATACTCACACTGACGTCTTCCCATGAACACACCACATGCCGATCATACATCTATACAAGCATTCTTTCCAGTACGACACAGTCATGACGAGGATGCATTGTGCTTGGGGGAAGACCGTAGGACTATTTTCACTAAATATTGGCAGAGATGCGTCTAGGGATGTCCCCGGTGTGTGTTTTCCATGAGAACGTTCTTTCAATGCGAAACTGGTGAATCCTTCCCAGACAACAGAGCGCCGTGCTTTCCAGTTCAGTACGCCTGTGCTCTGCCACACGCAGTTCAGTTCCCATTTGACTTCCTTTTTTCTTTTCCCCCCTTTCCTGGACTTCCACATTCCATGAAAATAACCCATACTGGAAATAACCAGCATGACCAGTCAACTATCTCCCTTGTAAACGAAAAAAGCACGACATGTGCCACAAGTATGGGTCATTTCCATACTTGTGGCACATGTATGGGTTATTTCCATACTTGGGGCACATGTTGTGCATGGCAGTCGGGCACAGGGACCCCATCACACAGCACACACGAGTGCGCCGCAAGGGGGAAAAAAGGGGTCGCGCAAAGAAAAAAGAAGTCGAGGGGCGGGACCTAACTTAATTCAAGGGCCCAGGAAAATTTTGAACCACGGCCGCACAAAATATTTTCCGGGACTTGAATATTTTCCGGGCCGCACCAAGGCCTGGGAAAAAAAATGGTGGAAGTCCTTCCCAACGTTCGGATTTGAATTCAAAGTTCAAACGTTGGCAAGGCCCATATCCTACCCACGCGCGTCCATTTGCTACCCTACCGGCCCACACTCGTCCCCGCTGTCCGTGTGTCACCACTGTCGCCCCTCCCACCCCATCATCGTCCTCCATAGCTCAGTCAGCGGCGGCAGGCAACAGGCAACAGGCAGCACAGGCAGGCAGCGGTCAGCGGCAGCAGGCAGCACAGGCAGGCAGGTCCGCAGCAGCAGGCAACCCCTCCCTTCCTCCCTGCCTCACCTCCCTCTCTCTCTCTCTCTCTCTCTCTCTCTCTCTCTCTCTCTCTCTCTCTCTCTCTCTCTCTCTCTCTCTCTCTCTCTCTCTCTCTCTGTGCTTCCACGATCGCGGCGTCCTTCAGCCGTTCCCCTCTCTCTCTCCTCGTACCCCACGCTCCACCTTTCCTACGTACTTGTCCCACCATCGCAACTCCTTCACCATTTTCCTCCACCTGGCTCGACCTCCGCCATACGCACCACCTTTCCCTCCTGCCATGTGTCTCTCCTCCTTTCTCTCCTCTCCCCCCCCTACCCTTCCTACCTCCTCATCTGCTATCCTCCTTCCCCCCATCGTCACATTTCTCCCACCCTTATCACTTTCATGCTCCGCCTCGTTTGCCATCCTCCCTCCCCACGCATTATCCCTCACTCCCCCTCCATTCTCGTTTCACCCCCCCAGTTCCCGACCTCGTTCGTCGTTCGCCCCCCCCTCTGTTTACGGAAGTGCATTCGTCATCGGCCCTCCTCACACGTCACGTTTCTCCTTCCTCCCCCCCTCCCTCCCACCATTCCCACCTTTCTCCCACCCTTACCACGTTTATGCCCCTCGTCGTTTTCATCTTCCCTCCCCACGCATCATCCCTCACTCTCCACGCATCACGCTCGTATCTCCGCCATATCTCCTTCATATCTCCTTCATATCTCCACCCCATCTCCTTCCATCCTCCATAATAGTCTGCTCATCACACCTCCTCCTTCCCTCCATATCGCCGCCATATCCCGTAATATCTCCACCATGTCTCCCTCCATCCTCCATCCTCTCCTCATTACCCCTCCTCCTCCTCCCCTCCATATAGACGCCATATCCCCGGCAAAAAAGAAGGCACGTGCACCGGGCGCACTGGTTCCCGCCTGCAGCGCGCGTGCTTGCACCCCCGTGCATGACGCACCCGAGAGCAGCGCACTCAGACGCGCTGCGCGCACTGCGCATGGGATGCACACGCACTGCACCTCGGAACCCGCACCGCAGTGATACGCCGCAAGTATGGTTATTTCAACTTATTTGTAATTTTGTACTCTTTTTTCCTTTTTTTTTCATACTCTTTGCATTGTGCGTTTCACATTTTCACCACAACAGCCCATACTCCATTCAGACGAGCAGATCCAAAGTGTGTGTGTGTTTCAAAATAAACAAACTCTCGCTCTCATTACATCCACAAACCATCACATATGTGTGTGTGAGCTGAACGACAGTACAGCCATGCAGGGGTGGGGTGGATATCACGGCCAGTATGGATCCACCGATTCGACTTTTGAACACCGTGCCAAAGCACATACAGGCTGATGACACCACGGTCCTGCGGTATTGTGAGCGAGGGTGAAATGAAGAGAGTGTATCTGTAAGAGCAAAACCTACCTGGGATTCCGCAATAGACATGATCATGGGAATAACGATGGTTTGCATTGTTTCATTACGTAATTCAATCGCCAGAGGCGGCAAGACCTGCAATGGATCGAAAATTCACAAACAAACACACAAATCAACAAGTGTCATAAAAGGGAAAGTAATGCTAGAAGTATGCTCAAAGCAGGCTCAGTGAAATCTCAGTAAAGCCTCTCAATGAAACCTCGATGAAAGGGAAAGTAATGCTATACATATGCTCAGAGCAGGCTCAGTGAAATCTCAGTGGAGGCTCACTGAACTGAGTGAAGGCCCAGTGAAGACCCAGTGAAGGCCTGGTGAGGGCTCGGTGCCAGAGGCGGCAGGACCTCCAACAGACTCAGAATTCACAAAAAAACAAACAAACAAACAAACAAACAAAGTTTAACAAACATGCGTTAAGTTGTAAATCAGTGTCATAAGAAAAGGAAGAAATGCTAGAAGCATGCGCAGTGCAGGCTCAGTGCAGGCTAAGTCAAGGCTCAGTGAAGCCTCGCGGTGAAGCCTCAGTGAAGTTTCTCAGTGCTGGTTCAGTGATGATCCAGTGATGGTTCAGTGCTGGTTCAGTGCTGGTTCAATGATGGTTCAGTGATGGTTCAGTGAAGGGTCAGTGAAGGGTCAGTGAAGGGTCAGCGCAGCCTCAGTCAGGCCCAGTGCACACTCAGTGAAGGCTTATTGAAGGATTAGTGAAGGGTCATGTTCAAGCAGGCCGCACAGAAGGGGGGCAAGCAATTGCTAACCACAGTCCAGTCCTCCAACTCCAGCCCCAAACTCCCACCTGGGGCTAAAGGGCAAGCAATCGCTAACCCACCACTGTCAAAATATTAAAACTACGGTCTTCACCGGAACAAAAAGCCCGGTCATTATAGCTGTATTTGGGGCAACTTCCAGTCCACATGCAGTGCTAATGACCGGGGGCGTTCAGGTACAACAGAGGGGTTGGCAAGTGGTTGTAACGCGTCCCATCCACATTAGTCAATGGTCACCGACTCGCACACACTCTGTGGACCTCGGGTGCACAACCTCCCCCCCCCCCCCCCCCCGCTCCCCACCCCCCGCCGGGAAGAACAGCTGCTGCTGGATTGGGAGAGATCAATTACCCAGGACGGTTGCTTTCCTTCTCTCTTCTGAAGGGGGATAGCCCTAGCATTATCGTACACATGAGGACTTTTTTAACTCGTGATCTGTGCATAAACACATTCCCATGCATTATTGAATATAGACGTCAATTAGCCGGGACAATTGCTTTCCTTGTCCTTTTTTTGAAGGGGGATGCCTCCGTAGCATTATCATGATCTTTCCATAAAGTTCATAAAAAAAACACAGTCACATCAATCATTGAATCTACCATTCAGACATTCATCAGGATTCAGGACTCAAAAAAAAAAGGTGGGGGGGAGGGAAAGGACTCGCTCAACATCTATTTATAAACATTTCCATGTGTCTGCCGTTGAAGCGCAAAAGCCAGGTGGGCTGCCATGTGCTTTTATTTAGAGTCAGCTTCGCTGAGCAGCTTCCATGTGTTTTTTAACTTTTTTTTTTAAACATTTATTGGCCGAAGTTGCCCAGCGAAGCTGACTGATAAAAAACGGCAAGAATAATTCTACGTCTCTACTTCTCTACTATCATCAACCAAGAGGAAGGGAAAAAGTCCGAAAAACAACGAACTTCAGGGGGGCAACGATTCCCTCAAAAGAAAGAAAAGGCAAACTTCCCATCCACATGAATACAATGCTCACGCAATTTTATTTTTTTTATGGTCCTGGCTCCATAATGAGTACATATCCGTTCTGGGCAGCATCAGTCCGGTTAGTTTCACCCCCGGCATCCACAACAATACAATGCTCAAGCGAGGAGCAGAGGTTCACGATTTCCTTTTTTTTCTTTTTTTTAAATCAGAAAAACAATGTTCGCTGAGCGCTGTGAGCAACCCAAGCAAGCTAAGGCACCAACCCCGCATTTCTTTCTAGGCTGAGGGTCAGCAGTTGTGACCGTCGATCCTGGTCTCCAAACCACCCACATTCATGCGCTAAATTGAGAGAGATGGATCTTCAATCGTTGAAGTGATCTATCATCAATCCCTTCAGATGGTTTTTCTAAGTCTTCCATTCTTTTTATTTGTATTTGAAGCAAGCAGATAAAACTCTTCGAAGAAGAAACACAATCCCCCAAAATTAGACCAAACCCACGTGAACGGTGTTAAACTGCAAAAGACAGTTGAAGTAACAAGCACGTATTGACTCCAGCGACGGTACCTTATATCGCAGGATTCGAATATCAAACATGCCGATCATTCCGCCAAGAGCCTTCAGGAACTCCATCTTCTGAACGACATCTCTCTCCTGACAAACAAAATCAATGACATCCATCATAGCACGTAATTTAGGGCCTAAAATAAGACTAGGGTTTTCTGATATGTATCTGACTGATATTACGGCTAGATTCCAGGGCCCATTCCCTCCTCCCCCCCCAAAAAAAACGAGTGGTGCTTTCCCGGTTACTTTGCGGGCCACGGGTAGGGAAAGTTAGACATGAACCACAGGTCTGCCTACCAGCACCCCCCCCTGCACAGCGGCTAGGGCAGCAGGGGTAGGGGGTCATGTCCTCCCTCTTCGCTTTCATATCGGAACTCGTGCTTGCTGGTGATAAGCAACCCAACCGACGCCGCCCCCAGAATAGATGAGGATTTTTTATTTTTTTTTAATGTGTACTATATAATATATATAGTGTATAATAATAAATTACGGCCAAATTCTGTCTACAATTTGCAAGTATCGGTATGGCCTTAGACAGCAGGAAGGAAACTAGCACCCGTAACTCAGCCCTGCATTAAAACTTCAAAAACAAAAAAAAATGATAATAAAACCCGGGAAATCTCTGAAGATAGTGTAGCACCGAAATTTCCAATTGACAATTCTTTGGCCTTCCATTTCTCATCGGTGACCAGCACTTTGTTTCCTCCGAACCACTGCACAAATTCTTTAGCCTTGCATTTCTGATTGTAAGTACCTAAAAGATTCAATAAAAAAAGCTGTTTGAAATAAAAAGTTAAAAACACTATTTAGAAAGAAGGTCCAGGACTGCAACCGAAATGATGAAATGGCTGAATGAATACAAGCTGTATCTGAAAAACAAAACAAAAACAAAACAAAAAAAAAAAAAAGCTGTATCTGGATCAGAAAAGAGGTCTGTACTTCAACACAGTTCATTGGTGTACCAACTGAGATAGGCTCATTGGTTTGGCCTCGCATTTCAGCGCAGCAGCACTTTGTTTCTTTCCAACCACTACAGGATGGGCTAGGCCATGCAGAAAAGAAACGCATTAAAAAAAAAAAAAAAAAAGTATCCAGATCACAGGGTTCTGCACTAGAGTCAGGACTTGACTTGGCAAAATAATAAAATATAGTACATGCACGTTCCAGCAGGCTGCGAGAAGTGGTGAGCCAACGGCTCATCTGACGCAGTGCCCCTCCGCTGCTACAAACAAGTTCTCCACAACATTCTTGTCATACGATCGAAGTGGCAGAGCCAACGGCCCAACGGCCCATCTGCGAGAAGTGTGCTCTTCGTTTTCGTCTTCTGTATTTTCATAGTTTGATTTGCAAAGTGCGGTCCTTTAGCTGAGCGATATGTGACAATATATAAAGCTCCGCATATTGCAAAAGTGAGAGACTGCCAAATGCAACAGCAGCATCAGCAGGTGTGAGACATTTGGCACAAGAATGTCTCGCCTGTCGGTCAAATGTGTGCTCGCACGTGTTGTCATGTTCGATATACACAACTCCCCCAAAACAGAGCATGACTGTGACAGAGTTAGCGATACCGCTGCGAGAGAAAAGTGGTCAGCTTCACTCAACACCAGCCCTGCAATCCGAGCAGAACGTCAGTCCAAACCCCTGACAGGAAAGGCAGTAAGCCTGAAAAAACTACCTTCTTCCCCCGAATACAACGTACGGTCATTATAGCTGCATTTAGACTGAAAGATGCCTCAAATACAGCTATAATCACCATACGTTGTATTCGGGGGAAGAAGGTAGTCTGTCACAGCCATAAAACCCACTCCACACATTGACTCACCCAGGGATACCCACTGGCACTACCGCTAGTACATTCGCGAACCTAGCTGCATCAGTCCACCTGAATGGCGAGCTTAGCAAGGCCGTGTTGTGTGGTGTCATGTTCGCTATACACAACTCCATGCGAGCACACGTGTGTGTGTGTATGAGGCGAGAGATACAGAGAAGGGAAAAGAAGCATAGAGAGAGAGAGAGGAAGGAAAATAGGAGAGAGAATGTGAGAGACACAAAGGGGGAGAGAAAAAGAAAAGAGGAGAGAGAGAGAGAGACAGAGAGAGACTCCGAGAGAGGAAAGAAGGATCGATGTACTAGTCGAGGCCAGTGATCCCCGCCTTGTGTTTCACATTATTTGGGTCTCTTCCCCAGCCTTTGCCATTGCTTTTTTTAAAGTTTTTGCTCCTAGGATTGTCACAACTTCTTTCTGTGTGGTAGGTACCTCTGCCTTTTGGTGAATTCATTACTCGATCGACACCTCTCTTAGAAAAGAGCTGTTACACTTGTGGTTCCAAGATGCATGGTCATGTAGCAAATACAAAGGCGATTCATCTTTCGCGCGGAGAATGTGCAATATAAAAATCTAACTTAACAATTATGAATCTTTTACGATGCATTTGTACTTCACCCTTCCATCTTTCATGCCTGGCATCGTTTGTTTCTATTAACAACAGCCAACACTCTACATGTCTGCAGAAGTCAGATCATCTCAGATGTCAATTCTACCAAAGAAACACAGCGAGACAAACTTACCGCCATTCGGTCCAAAAAGCGGAGAGCCCTTACTTTGGGATCATCGCGGAAAAATGTAATGCCTAAGAAAGAACAAAGTTCAACAAACACAACAAGGTGACACGGCCGAAGTCAAATGATGTGCGGTTGTACCTTAGTTGTTTAAAAAGGACTAGACTTTCCAAGAGTCAGCATTCAAAACAAAAAAGAAGAAGAAGAAGAAGAAACAATGATGCTGTAAATCTAGGTTACCAGGGCGGACGTCCACGACCCTCCTAGATGTCCGACTTGTCCGGTCGGACAACTGGGGAGACGTCCTCTGGAGACAGTATGTCCGACCCTTGAAACTAATAATAATAATTATAATAGTAATAATTATTATTAGTAGTTTATTATTATTATTATTATTATTATTATTATTATTATTATTATTATTATTATTTAAAAACAATTCTGTGGGTTCCCCACTCACACGCCACAAAAGTTTTGGGTCATTCGAGCCCGTCGAAAAAAAAATAAAAATCGCCAAAGATGTCTGTGTCAATTTCAACCAAACGGGTCTATCTTATTGGAGTCAATTTCAATCACGCACCCCAACCCCCC